AAATGTAAACATTCACATTTCATCAAGATTTCTCAGTGAACTCCATTATTGACTGCGCATAACAGACCGGATAATGGCAGTGTGAAGGTGGATCAGCAGCTACTTACAGTAGGCAGGTTGAGGTGCCTGAGCAGTCTGTGTTTAATCTTTAACACCAGTCCAGTGGTCAATTGGCAGACCCTCCTATATACTTCCAAGAATTTGGATCAGAGTCTGTGCAGTTACTTACAAGTAGTGTCACCACTTGTATTAATAGAGCTCTTCTGACAAGCTAGCTTGATAACATTGTGGCATTTTTGGGTTAGTTCTCTCCAAATATTTTACCATTGTGCATGGTTCAGAATACTTGGTCAAAATCAAAACAGTGATAAGAATTACCTTAAAATAAATTATTGTCAATTGTCATACACTTACAAAGGCAAACATTTAAAATGTCTTAACATCCTTAGAAGCTTTTGAGTAATTTAATTTTGCTTCTTAAGCCTGATATAGAGATATTTCAGACCCTTAGAAAACAATACTAAGTTTTTATGAATATGGGCTTTAATAATTGATATATTGCCCCAGTAAACTTCAGATTCCATGCCCACTCCCCTTATTCTTGTTTGAATAAGGGAGCTTAAGGTTTTTTGTTTTTTTTTTAGCTTTTTTCATATAACACGTTTTCTAGTACGTATTTTTTAGTCCTGAAAAAAAAAAACAATGTTACCTTTTTTGATAGTTTGTGTGGACATCACACAAAGTTGATAACATCCAACATGCCTGGACCATTTTATTCTCATTCTAATACAAAGCCTCACATATTGGCAAAGCAAACACCAGCATGTTTTATAGTTTACTTCTATGACTAAAATATTTTTCTGGGCATTGGAGGCTTAATTTTTCAACAAGGCCATTTGGAGGATCTAACAGTGCCCACTGTGGCATTCTGTTGTGTATTTTCGGGCATTCGTTCTTTGTTCTGTTTATCCAATATTGATTAAGAAGTTTTGTTGAATTATGTTTCAGGCAAATGGCCTCTTCTGATCTGGGCATCAGGCCCTGCCAAGCTGGATGCAAATATAGAGTCAAGGTTTCTAAAGCCAAAAAGGCCCAGTAGTAATGTTGGATTTTCAAACATAATGAATGAAACATTATTTAAAGTGCTGGTAAAATAGATGGAGCAATATGCAACAACCTACCCTGCTCACTGCTGTAAAATTACAGAACAGTTTCAATAACAGCACTGGAAGGTTTTTGTGCCTTGGGACATTTTCTTTTTGCCTTGGGCAGCAGAAAGTCACAAACTAGCCAGTAATGGATTTTAATTTTAAGGAGACATCTAAAAATTATGTTTTTGATATGCAAACAAAGAATCTTGCAAACAACCCATCTTGAAAGCAAATGTATCCTTAAAAAATAATTCTCTTCATTTTCACAGCTTCAAAGGATCCAGTCCAGGTAGACCGTGTCCTTTCGAGGACACTGCCGGCAAATTCGAACACACCGAAACCCTGCAAACTAAGTGCCACAGTGACTCGGAAGAGGTGCTGTCTGCACATCTTTTCTAGTTATGTATGCCAAGTCACTACAGACGGCTCTGCCCACACCCTGCACACACCTTTGATTGCTCCCCCAGGTGAGCTGAATTAGGCCAATAAGCAGCTCTCACTCAGAGGACATAACAGCAAACCAGTAATTCACTAGGTGCACTGCAAGCTGAGCAGATGGCAGCTACACAAAGGAACTGAAACTGTGAAAAAAAGGAGTTTTAAAATGCCATCACTAAGCTCACTACTAAGAAAAATGATGCCTCAAACTTATAAATGCACTCTGTGGAACCTTTTGTTTGGGAGAAAAAATGTGTTTGTGTTCAGTTAAATTTTTAATGTGTAAATGCTCTGTTCTGTGTAAAGCTTTAATATTTCATTTTCATGGTATTTGGCCTTAAAATAAGCCTTTAAGATATAGTAAATTAGCTGGATTTTCTATTAATTTGTAAAAACAAAACAAAGAGAAATAACTTTGAATTGTTGTTAAAAACATAAAACTGAGAAAACTGAAAGAAAATGCACAGATCTGCAAATGTGTCTGCATTTTCTGTGTGAAGGTTTTACTCCTGTGTGAACTGCATCAAATTTATCACCCTCTACTACTGGTCAAATAAAGTGATCTGAGTGAAATCTGAAGTCTGGTCCTTCACGTGTGAACACCTCACTGCTACTTAAACATTTGACAGTAGGAGTTATAATATATATTAAAAATATAAATGCCACACATTTAAATTGAACAGCCTTCTGAAATGACTTGTCTTAAAAGTAATACTTCATCTGTCATGTTTAACATTCTTGTCCTCTATAATCCACCCTCTCATAATTCTACATTTTATGATTTGCTAAGTGTCCTGGTTAAGCAACCTGCCTCAACAGGGTTTGCTAGGCAGACCGAGACCCTAATACCCTTATCTGTTATTTGCTAATTTACCAGGATATGGCAAGGACTTGTAATGTGATTACAGGACTTCCAGGTATAAATGACTCTTGACTGTTGTAGCAAAAAAATTAAGAATAAGCAACTCATCTGTACTATGCCTGGAGCATTTGACGTTAAACGTACATCAAATATGTAAACCAAAGTAAACATAACTTTGGGGAAAAAAAAATAAAAAATTACAAAAGGGGACTGGGTAACACACATTAGGAACCGTTTATATACCTGGTTGATGTAGAGTGCCATAATTCCATGAAACCAGTAATTACACTGCTATTAGAAAAGATTGCAAAGAAAATATAAACCAATAAAGAATTATATAAATTACCTTGGATACTGAAACACAAAAACTTTTGAAGTGAGATTTGGTTCTTAAAACTAACCTGGCATAAGCCAGAGTGATACCATGTAGAATTCAAATTAAAACACACGTATCGATCTGGAAAGCCTCATGTAGAAAGTGTTCACAAAAAGGATGGACATCCAGTACAATTCTTTGAGCTGAATGGGTACCTGCCTCCCACACCAAATTTTTTAGCCAATCACAGCAGAGGTACACTAGGGCAGTTAACTAATAAATTAAACTCTTACCAAATCAGATCAGGGGTATTGTGCAAACATCTTCCCATCCGCAAAGGCAAAAGTTGTTGTCCTTTTGCTCATTTTTCAAAGAGAAAACGAGGATATTTCAGCTAAAACTGGTACCATCATGTTCTGTTTGCTTTGGCCTTCCGCCTCTAGTTGATGTCATTTACATCACTACATTTCATCGGTTTGAAACATTTCTGTATCAAGGCAAACGTATCTGCTGGCACCTGGCAAGATGTATTTTCGGGAGTAGATAAATTCACAAAACTCAAAACAATTCATCTTGCTTGGAAGGTAATCTATTAAAAAACCTCTTCATTTACAATGTAACACTAATTTATAAATATTCTGAAATAAATATAAATGCTTGAGCTGCATAAAGTCAAACCATATGGTGCAGTATGTGTAATTTTAACCCTATTTCAATTATAGCATTATTATCTCAAGCAGTTGAAAGAGCAGCAGCACCACAGGTGCTTGAGTATTTAGAATCAAGACACCTTCTACTCCAAAAGCAGTTTTGGATCAGAGCAGGTTTTCCACCAAAATGACAAACTGGTACTTTACTGAAAGTTGAAAGAAATCACTGGAAATTGGTAATGTCTCTGTTACAGAACACAAACATGTATTGAAACACATGCTACCACTTGTTTGGGTCCTTAACAAGGATACTAATTTTGCTTAAAAGCAAAAAAAGTGACTCCTTAAAAATCTTTCTTAACATGGAATAATAGTGTAAAAATGCTTCCTGAGGCATGAAAAAAAAAAGCAAAATTTTCAGTTAAAGAATTATAACAAATAACTATGACCACCATCTTTAATCTTGGGGGTACAGTTAAGTTGGACAAGTGTTTTTATATTCATCATAAATGCATGCTTTATCTAAATAGCTACTTGTGCTATATAATAGTATTATTTTATATATACAAACAATTACTTTATACAGAGGCTATATCAGTGAGAGTAAATTATCTAAAGCAAGTGTAGAAATACCAAATGTATAAATGTTAATTTAACAAACTGTGATAACACAACACAGAATCAGTGCTGAACAGCTTTTATCACAAGCTGTTAAAATTGCTATACTAATGTCAATGTTATGAGCTTCACATTTACATTCATTTGATTGAATCTTGTCTCATCTGTTAGTGTTTTCTATTTTATACTACATTTAAAAAAACATCCCTGTTCCCTTAGTTAATGATCACAGACATTTTTCTTAGCTTTTATTTAGGCTCTAGTTGCCTTTATTTCTAAGATTAGCAGACAGGTAATAGGATGTTAAAAAAAGGGGAAGACATGCAGCAATATTTGCTACTGTAGACGGGGACTCAAACCTGCCAAGGACCAAAGCCTCTGTAGATGGGTTTATATCTTCATCATCGGTGTGACCACAAATACTCCATGCTTTGATGTTTGCCACTCAGAATACAATAAGATACATACATATTTTTCTTTTGATGTTTTTTTTTTTCATCAACATTTTTGGCAAATCACCTGCTTTCAGAAATTGTTCATTTATTGGTCAATCCCTATAGTTTGTGTATCATTACCTAGAAAAGATACTGTCATGCGTTGGTGATACAGGAAAAAAAAAGGTTAAATATATTACAGATGTTTAAGATACCATAGAAATGCATGTAGACAAACATTCTCAGATATAAAGTAAGAGTGAATATGAAGGACAATTTGTTAGAAAATAAATGCATTGAATCCATCTAAAAATATATATATATATATCTTGCTCCAAACTAGAGTGTTAGAAGTTGTTTTTAAGACGCTGCAAGTAAATGATTTTGGATTTTAATCTTAACACACTGTATAGGGGTTTTAAAATCCTGTACAGAGCTTTTGCAAGCTCAGTTTATAGCTTGACATCAGGGGCGTATGCACTTTATTTCATTTTTTTGTTTATCTGAAATCTGTTGTGAAGTGTTATTCACCTCGGGTATTGCTGGAGAGGCGTTTGCGTTGGCTGGTAGACGTGTTGTGTGGTAGCAGAGTGTTCTGCTGGTGATTGCTGTCCAATGGGCTCGTGGCGATGATGTTGTCCTTATATTTGTTCATCAGGGCCAACTTGGTGTTGTCATTCACTGCAAGAAAAGTATGAAGAGACTGCAGACATGAGAGAACATATGCAAGGACAAAAACTTCTTTTTTAGTAAAAAAAAAAACATGTAAAAAATGTATATCTTTTCACTGCACAAGGACATTTTGTAAAGCAAATTGTAAGGAGAAAAAAATCCAGTTATGCCTAGAAAAATAAATCCAGCTTTATGTTTACAGGCTGAAAAGTCAACGAGCCTAAATTAAAGTGAGAGAAAAGCTGGCATGAAATTAAAACTAATTACAAAAACTATTGGAGCATATTTAAGACTTAGAGAGGGAAATTATACATTTTTATAAATATTCAGAGAAAAATGTCTCAGCAATGCAACAAAACAAAAATGTTATATAGACATATAGACATAGAATCTTCCTTAATGCATATAAAATGTCTTCATTGCTGAATAGTTCTCAATTTATTTATATTTATGATGGGTCTATGTATGTTCAGTATTAGGTGCATTCAAATGTTTTTCTACTTCTGATAAAAACAAATAAATAGGAATATGGCCTTTAGCTGCATCACAATAAGCCTGTTAGACTAAAAATAAAGAATATGAAAATAAAGGTATAAAATATTAAGTTATTTAATGTCAACATTCATGGCCATTTTGTAAATAGGTCTATATGTTGGTTCATTCACTAGAAATCCCAATGCATTTTTTTCAGCGACATTAAGAGTTGTCATATCTATCAACATTCTGCACTTAGCCGGCATCCACCGCTTTCTCCAGTTTGGTGCATTATCCATTTGAAATGCATAATGCAAAGGATTACTCTGCTTCCATTAGCTGCAGGGCTAGACCATTCGGATTTTAGAGGAACACTGTATCTGAGCACTTTCACCACAACTGATCACTTAATGAGTTCACCCAGTAAATATGAAGCTTATTTCCATTCACAGTATATACCTGTAATGTGATGGCTTACTGGAATAGTTTTGATACAGAAGAATAAATGTTCTGAAATGAAATTACCTGCTTGCAAACAAATGTTCTGAATAATTGGAATTTCAAAAGAAACTTTAAAGTAAAACTAAACAAAAAATGGGTTCAACATTAAAAGTTAAATCACTGCATGACACACAAACTGTATGTTTTCAGACTTCGAAAAGCATTTTCAGAATCCTGAACAAACATGCTGCTTTGCTCTAGGGTAATTGAGCCCGTTGCTGCTCACCTGTGAAACAAATAAATCTCTTTATTAAGAAAAAAATAATCTAATTAAAAGTTGCTCTAAACCAGTTAAAACAAAGTAGTTATTTTAATTACACAGCCTCCCATTTAACAGCGAATGCAATATTTATTTGGCCTAAAAGAGGGAAAACAAATTCATTTCTTCTTAAAGTCAACATCTTTTTAATCAAATTTGTTAATTTATGTTGTAGTAATGATTAAACAAAACTTTCAATCCTCAGATATGAATACTAATGATTAATGAGAACTGCAACACCACTATCTTTCCTCGTGCAGATATACAATTTAACTGCCCTGAAGATCCAGGGCTAAAATAATAATATGGAGCCTAGGCGGAAGTTCCGATCCGCATTTGTCTTCTCCTGTGCACAAGCGGTGGATGTGCTGTGTGACTTCATTCAGATGACACCGTTTCAACCCACCTCCAGCCCCTCCTCCACCATGATAGCTTAAGCTTCATTCCTCCCAGACTCTTACAGTGCTCCCTGTCTCATCTCAACCGGTCCGGCAGAAGACCGCCATGTTGAGCCTGGTTCTGCCAGAGTTTTCTTCCCAATTGGGAGTTTTTCTTCTCCACTGTCGCTTCATGCTTGCTCATCATGGACAGATTCTCTCAACCTGTGTTATCCAACTGGACTTCCATTTTCCAGATCCCTGAGTGTAGCTCTACTATCAGCACATGCAATCCACTGGCTCTCCCCATAAAGCTCTGCAGACCGTCTCACTAACCAGCAGTCTACAGACTGACCAACTTCATCTATCTCCACTCCATCACCAGTTTCAGGCCTGGGGGAAACAGCCTTATTCTTTGCGCCTGTTCATGCATATCTATCAAAACTAAGCGCTATGTTTCCAGCCGAGGTCTGAGCCCCAAAGACAATGTAATTGTATCAATAAATTTCTCCTAAATGTCTTTTCTCTTCATGTGAGTTTTTCAGATTGAAGTTTAGGCAGCCATGTTTTAGGAGATGATATAGTTAAGATGAGTCAAGAGATGAAAGTAAGACTCCTTAAATCATTTTGTCTTGGAAGATAGATGACAATGACTTGGAAAACAATTAGGTCCATGATGCCACCTTAAATGCTGCCTTTGGATCCTTTTCTCACTAATAGTGTGCCGTCTAACTCAGTAGAACAAAGGACTGAAAATGGTGCACTGAACTAATAAAAAACTTAGTTGATGTTGGAGGAATTGCTCTAAAAAAAAAACAGAGAACTGAGAAAACAGATGGCTACACTAAGACTTTTAGTTACAGGTTTAAAAATGTCAAACTACTGAACCAGAGAATAAAATACATTTTCCAATCTTCTGTTAGGGACTATTCTTTACCTTTTTTATGTTTTCATTTCTATGTCTTTTTTTGTCTATATATATATATATATATATATATATATATATATATATATATATATATATATATATATATATATATATA